TATCTATCCTTCTACCATAAGCCTCCTGAGATAATGGAGATGGTGGTGGTGGTTGCACACCACCGGCTTTCCCTCACTTCATTTTGCTCGCCACTATTCCGAGGCCACGTCTATCTTCTACAAGCCCCTCCCTCCCCTCCACAGATCAGGATCGCTCCTGATATTCCTTCAACCTCTCATCCACCCGCGCCGTATTCCATGTCTCATGCCCCTCTTCATCCTTGCCCAGCACCGGAACACCAACCTGCTCAATAGCAAAGCTCGCAGCCACATTTCCCCACTCGCACGCCTCCTCAATCGTCTTCCCCCTCGCCAGCGCAACCGCCATCGCCCCAAGGAACGTGTTTCCGCCCCCGGTGGGATCCACCACCTTCCCTTCCTCCTCTCCGCGGTAGTAGGCCGGGAACCACCGCTCCACCCCGGGGTCAATCTCAATCTCCTCCCTCGCCACCGACCCATCCCCGTCGCACACCAGCCCGGCAAGCAGGGCCATCATGTCCATGTCCAGCTGCAGCCCGCCGTGCGCGTGCTCCTTTTTCTTGGGCGGCCTCGCACCCCCCGCAGCGGCGGCGGTCCGGGCCTTCTTCTTCCGGCCCCCGTTGCGCGCCACGTAGCACCCCTTGTCGCCGGCGCGCACCACGAGCGCGTAGCTCTGCAGCGGCATGCTAGCCAGGAGCTGCTCACAGCTGCGCTCGACGGCGGCGGTGCTGACGCCGCCCGTGGCGGGGTCGAGCCCGTCCGAGCCCATGAAGCCGGCGAGCTCGGCGTGGTTCGGGCTGCAGACGTCGACCAGTGGGAGCGCGTTGGTCAGGTTGAGGAGCTCGTCGGGCGTGCACAGGTCCGGCACGGGCTCCCAGATGAAGAGGGGGCGGGCGTAGGTGGAGAGGAAGGGGTCGCGTGCGCGCGCCTCGGTCTTGCGCTGGGCGAGGATCGAGGTGACGAGCTCACGGCAGCGGAGCGGCGAGCAGATGAGATGGATGGCGCGGGCTTGGAGGAGGGGGGTGGCGGTGAGGTCGTCGGCTGTGAGGCGCTGCTTGGGGGTGGTGTAGCGGAAGGACCGGTGGGAGGGGTCCGAGGGGTTGGTGTAGCCGTTCCAGCCGCGGGTGGTTAGGCGGGTGGACGAGGGGCGGAGGAGGCACGAGGTTTCCCACGAGGAGAGGAGGGTGCTGAGGGCGGCGGGCCAGTCGGTGCCTTGGTCGACGATCCAGCCGACTGTTTTGGAGAGGGGGGGTGAGGAGAAGAGACGGGCGCCGAGGGCCGAGTAGGTGCCGGCTCCGCCTGGGATGTCGTGAGCTGCCGGCTGGGGAGGGGGGAACTCGATTTCGTCTACGAGGCTGTCAGCTATGGTTTTCAGGTCCCACTGACAATATGCTCATCCAGGACGAGCAAGTTCATCAGAGGGGAGGTAATTGCTGGTTTTGTGAGGCAGAGGCAGGGGGACATGAGCGCCGGGCCAACATCTTGGTGAGCAGAGGGTAAATATCAAAGCAAGAAAGAGCAAGAGGAAAATGACTGGAACATGCCAATTATGAACATGCCCAGGGTAACAAAGTCGATGTCCTGTGTCACCGGGATTTCAGACCCCTTTTCGGCGGTGGCGGCCTGGGTCACATCGGGCTCGGGCTCGGCCCCAGCGGCGACGTCCGAGTCCCGGGCCATTCTGGTGCAGCGGAGCGGCTGGTCGGATCACGGTGGACGGCCCCTCAGCTCCGTGGAAATAGGCGACGAGGAATGTCTCGGCGACCTGGAAACGAGTGCGGCGTGACCTGGGAGGTGTGATGGTACAAAAACCCTCCCAGAAAAGATATTGGGTACGCGTAAACTATAGTTGGGCAGGCGCAGGAATTGGCCCAACCCCTTTTGGCAGTGTGCGAGCAAATGTTGTGCAAAGCCTCTGGGCAGGAAGGCATAGGTAGGCTCAGAGGTACCTAGGCTCCTCGGGCGTTGACGGTTCCATACGGGTGTTGGGGGAACACAGCATCTGCCCGATCGGGGTGGAAACTGTAGGGCTGCATCGATGCCGCGTGGTGCATGTTCGCGCAGCGCTGTCAGCGATGGGGGCCTGAAAGATTACGTACGTCCCCCAAGATAGAACCACATGCCAGGTTGAGATGGAGAAACAAAGGCAGCAGAACGTCACAGATGGCTTCAGCCTTGATATCCACCTACCTGATTCTTTCTATTTTGATATGTACATCTTCTAGGCAAGTAGTTTCGGCCACCGCATCCAGGACGCGACATGGCTGCACAAATGCTGTGGCCAGAGCTCCCCGGCTGCAGAAGGTGGCTCGGCGGGTTCAGGGGCTCCTTTGCGTGGGATCGCCAGGCTGTCAGGAAAGCCCCATGCACCTCAACTCGGATTTATTAGCTTCAATGTCTCAACTCCTCCGCAACGCACCGCACCGTTGACCCTCGACGACGACATCATCTTCTACGCTCCCCAGGCCCCCAATTACCAGCCGTTCATCTTCAGTTAATTATCCGAGTAGCCTTCCGCCCAGCGCACCGTTTACTCCACTCGTTGCTTCGCCCTGACGTCGTTGGCTCTGCGGTTGCACGCTCCCATCGCCCATCACATCACCCACGACGCCAGCCAGGGACTGCCTTGCGCGCCCCGTCTGCCCACCATGGCCACCAACAATATGCATAACTTGACGACCCTCATTAAGAGGTATGTCGCACCCCTCCACCCCGGACATGGCAGCAGTGGCAGCCCTCCCTCCGATGCAGCAACCCACCGGCTACCATTCCCCGCCGACCGCTGAATCCATCTTCTCCAGACTCGAGGCCGCTACTACCCGTCTCGAAGATATCGCCTCGTCCACGATTGAGCTGCCTCAAGCATCCTCTTCTCCAAAAGATAGCGCCACGCTGGCATCCGGGGCATCCGCCATCTCGACACCGCCATCTGCCCCGACTCCCGCTGCTGCCCCTCCTCCGCCCGTGGTCCAGGAGCCCGTCCCCGAGTCGATCGAGGAGTTCGACGGCTTCATCAACAACTCGGTCGCCAAGTTTGCCAAAATAAGCAATGACATCGGAGGCCTCATTGCGGAGCAGGCCGCCAAGGTGGTTCAAGGCTTCAAGGAGCAGCGCAAGTTCCTGCTCATCACGACCAAGTCCAAGAAACCCGACCTCACGGGCTCGGAAATGTCCGTGTACCAGGACCTCCTCAAGCCCATCAACGAGGCTCTCATGGCTGTCAACACCCTCAAGGAGAGCCACCGAGGCAGCTCCGTGTTTAACCAGCTCAGCGCTGTTGCTGAGGGCTTCATGGTGTCCGCCTGGGTGACGGTCGACAGCCGAACATACAAGCATGTGGAGGAATACCTTGGCTCTGCCCAGTTCTTCGGCAACCGGGTGCTCAAGGAATTCAAGGACAAGGACCCGCGAATGGTGGAATGGATTCAGTCCTACTACCAGATCTTCCGCGATCTGACCGACTACGTCAAGAACTACTTCCCCAACGGCGTGCCGTGGAACCCCAAGGGCCGTCCGGCGCAAGAGGTGGCCAAGTCCATTTCGTCCTCGCCCTCGCCCTCATCCGCGGCTCCGGCTCCGGCCCCGGCCCCAAGTGGCGGAGCACCACCACCACCACCGCCTCCTCCGCCAGGACCGCCGCCGGTGCTGAAGATCGACGAAGTCAAGGCTGGACCCGCCCCATCGGGCGGGCTTGGTGCCGTGTTCTCGGAGCTAAACAAGGGCGAGTCAGTCACGAAGGGCTTGCGGAAGGTGGACAAGTCGGAAATGACGCACAAGAACCCCTCGTTGAGGACGTCGTCGTCTGTTTCCGGGCACGACGGCTCTGCTGTGCGCGGGAAGAGCCCTGCACCAGGAAAGAAGCCCAAGCCGGAGACGTTGCGGGTTAAGAAGCCGCCCAAGAAGGAGCTCGACGGCAACAAGTGGATCGTCGTAAGCCGACCCCGTGATCTGGCCATGTGTTTATGTATGTTAACCCTCTGGCGCATAGGAAAACTTTGACAATCCTTCCGGCCCGATCGAGATCCAGGTCGACATCTCGCACTCCATCCTCATCTCGAAGTGCATTAGCACGACCATCATCGTCCGTGGCAAGGCCAACGCCATCACCATCGAAAACACCACGAAGCTGTCTCTGGTCGTCGACTCCCTCGTCTCGACCGTGGACGCCGTCAAGTCAAAGTCATTTGCTCTCCAGGTCCTCGGCACCATCCCCACGGTCATGCTGGACCAGATCGACGACGCTCAGATCTTCTTTAGCAAGGAGAGCGAGTCGACTCGCGTCTTTCACAGCAAGTCGTCGGGCATCAACCTCAATGTCGTGGGGGCCGACGAGGACTACAAGGAGCTGCCGCTGCCGGCGCAGATTTGCTCGTACTACGACGCCTCAAAGGGGCAGGTTGTGGACGAGATTGTGTCGCATTGTGGTTAGGATCCATCGATATAGAGGTTTTTGATGAAACTTTGGGTATCCAAAAACTTCAGCCTTTCGGCGGGACTGCTTAAAACCTGAAGATGGATGTCGGGCGGGGATGGACGTGACGTGCGACGTTCGAGCGAAAGGGCCGCAGCGAGCTTGCTGTTCCGAATAGCTGAGCAAGCATCGGATGTAGAGCGCAGTGGTAGCGTCCTAATAGCGTCGTTTGATACAAATTCTGATTTCCAGACTTCTTTCCGCCTGCTCGGCTAGTGCTTGGCAATTCCCAATACGGGCTCCCAACAATCACCACCGCCGCCCCTTTCCCACTCTATCAAAAAAAAGAAAAAAAAAGAAAAAAAAGACAGCCTCCAAAAAGAAGACCACCACCCTCGCCCTATTCCCCCCTGTATTCCTCTCCCGCCGGGAATTGAACCCGGGTCTCAAGCGAAGTCGAACTTCCTTCCAAAGAAGAAGAAGAGATGACAAGCTCACATACTGACCACTATGCTACGGAAGATGATGACAAATCAGTCTGCCAATGTTGACATTGGCCGTAGTTGGTTGAACAGGAAGGAAGGAGCAAAGAAAGAGCTGGTGGTCGGATCTCGGATACGGGGAGTCGAACCCCGGGCTGCTGAGAGAAGGTTGTGCTCTTTTCTCTCTTGTGGGAGAGGGAGAGATTGAGAGTCAGCGATGGTACCGCTACACCGTACCCGATTGCTTTGCTTTTTTATTTTGGCGGGAGGGAGGTAGGGGGGAGGGGGTGATTAAGGGGGGGGGGGGGGGTTGGTTTAGTTTGGGGTTTGGCTGGGAAGGGGTGGTGGTGGATCTTTGTGTGTGTGTCGTGAGTCGTGATGTGGATTTGGAGGCGGTTGGGTGTGGGGATGTCGAGTTCAGGGGCCGGGTTTCGTGGAAAACTCCAGCGTGTCGAGCTTGGGGGGTTCCTTTTCGAGGTTCCTGGAATGTTGTAGCGATTAGGTCTACTTGGGATGGGGAACGCAGGGTGGGAAAAGTAGCAGGTATGATCTAATGATACAAGAGCGCAATCGGCGAGACGCATCGGGCTGTGAAAAGAAACATGCAAAATTAGACGCGAGACTGGGTAGTCGTCCGCTGGCAGGTAGAGCGACGCTCGAGTATCAAAACATTCGCTAACTAGACACAGACATGGCGGAAATATCTATACGACAAATGCGACGAAACAGATCTACCGAGACTTCCTCCCGTGCTGTCGGGAAGTTTCCAAACCCGATCAGGGTGTTTAGTTTTAGAGCTTGGCCTTGGGGGCTTCGACGGTCGGCATGAGGAGGTCGCGCATCTCGCCGGCCGCCTCGTTGAGGTAGTGGCTCATCTTGTTGCTGCCCTGGCCCTTGGAGACGATGTTGAAGTTGAGGCTGTGCGGGATGTTAGTTATTGCCCGTGATGCGTGAAGCGGGGAACGGGATCTTCTTACCTGTTCTCGTTGATCATGTAGGCGATGCCGAATCCGTCGTCGATGACCTGGCTCCACCCGTAGCCGTTGAAGAACTCGGAGCTCAGCTGGCTGGTCGACAGGTACCACGAGGATGAGTAGGCGTACGCGGGGTCCTTGTAGATGGCCGGGACCTCCTGGCCAGGCTCGAGGAGACGCTTGAGACCAAAGAGGTGGCGATCGACGCCCTTGCCGTCCGAGGCGGCGCCGATGTACTCGAGGTGAGCGTCGATGGCCTTGCGGAAGAGCTCGACGCGCGTCTTGTCATCCACCTCGGCAGCAACCATGGCATCGCACCAGGCAACGCTGGCCTCGGAAACGGTGCGGCAGGTCTCGGTGCGGCCCTCCTGGAAGCGGCGCGTGGCCGCCGACTCGTAGGTCGGCCTGTTCTTGCCGTACATCTTCTTGTAGGCGAGCTGGATGATCATCTGGACGTAGGCGTCGGGTGAGCAGCGGAACTTCTTGATCAGCCCCTTGCCGTATCCCTGGTACGACTGGACGGCCAGCTCGTGCTGGCCAATGACGTCGTGAAAGTCCTTGATGGCGCGGTCAATCTCGGCCTGCACATCCTTGGTGACCACAAAGCGGACCGCCTGCGGCTCCGGCAAGTTGGATCGGACGTCGGGGGTCGAGAAGTCGAGCTTATTGTTGAAGATGACGTCGTTGACAAAGTCGTTGAGGCGATGCGTGGGGGTGCCGTCCATCATGCTGTGCTCGCCCATGAAGCCCGACGTGCCGTTGTCGTTGACGATGAACTGCAGGGGCTTGTCGTACCAGCGGTTCTGCCCATCTCCGTGCCAGTAGGCGTGCGCGCGCTCCTCCAGGGTGACGGGCGCGGCGTCGTCGAGGCAGACGGTGAACGAGGCCGACTCGATAGCCTCGAGGGCCTTGGCGTTGCTGGGATCGGCGCCGAGGAGAACAGCACGCGCATCCGTCCAGATGTCACGGTTCTCAGACGTCAGGGCACCAACGGCGGGCGCGCGCTGGCTGTTGGCGAGCTCATACACCCTCCGGAAGGCCTGCTCGAGCTCAGCGGTGGTGAGCTGCTTGCCGGCCACTTCGTGGGCGATCTTATAAAACTGGTTCTTGCGGATGACGAGGATGTGCTTGTTCTGGTTGGGGTCGAACTTGACGGGGAAGTCGGCAGGCTTGGCGGGCACGCGGCTGGCGTTGAACATCCACTTGTAGCTGTCCATGCAGATGGGCAGCTTCTTCATGTACTCGGGCTCGAGGGTGCCCGAGTCGACCTGCTTCTTGAACTCGAGGGCGGCAGTCGATATGGCGGCGGCGCGCTTCGCGGGGTCGCGGCGGCGACGGTCATCGCGGTGCGAGTAGAAGTAGCTGACGTAGGGGACGACGGGGTCGCGGTAGCTGAGATAGGCGGCATCGTTCCACCATTCGCTCAGCCAGTTGTGGATCTTGGGGTTTTCGCGGCGGGCGAGCAGCTTCTCCTGCAACTTGCGACCAGGGCCGTTGGGGGCGACAAACTCCTGGACGGCCTTGGTGCTCGCCTCGAGCTCGCTTGGGGACAACAGCGGCTGCAGAGTCTTAAGGTACCGAGCGGTTGTCTCCTCGAGTGTTGGCACTGGGAGGCGCGGGAGCGACTCCTGGAAGCGCAGCATCGGCCCCTTGGACTTGTCCTCAACATAGCCTTCGGCGAGAGGACGTGGTTAGCACGGACGGCAAACTAGATGCCAATGGCATTGCGACCAAGGGCGAAACCAACCTGCTGGTAGGGAGCTGTTGCTCCGTTTCGCCGCTGGCGCCATAGACAATGATGTTCTCTACAAAGCGACGGGTCCGGTTAGCCGGCTTCGGAGCAGCGACGAGAGATGGGCTAGGGCCACGAACCAGGGGAAATTTGACTTGTCTGGTGAGATTCCTCAACGCGGGAGACCGGGCCTCTGTTCTTGCGACGGCAGCCAACATTGGGAAGGAAAAGAGGTCGAGCCGGCGAGACTATGTCGAGAGAGGGAGGGAGGGAAAGGGAAATGCGACTTAGAGGGAGGGCATGGACGGTTCTCGCCAAAAGACAGGCGGGAGATTGGTGTTGCAGGGTCCCTGCGTTCCCAGTTTGCCGAATTGACGAGCACTCGAGCCTAGGCACTTTGGTCGTGGACGCGGGTCGGGATCCGTAGTTGTAGAGCTGCGGCGTACCCGGTCTGGAGAGGGTGGAGAGGGCTGGAGACTGGACGCGGCGTGGAGAAATGCTGCCCCAACTTCCCCGAATTCCAGACGCCCGAACGACCCCTCAAGCCGAGGCTAATTGCCGCTGCGTCATTAACCTCCCTGTAGTTCGTGCCACATCCTCGGCCTGCTTTGCCGAGTCCAGGCTCCCAGGACTTCCCTTGATGCGACAGGGGGGGGAGGGGGCGCCGCCGGCCGGCCGTCCGACACCGTCATGTGGACCAACCGCCACCTGGAGGTCCCCTCCACCCGTCCACGCCGCCGTGGGCTCGTGGCGGCTTAGAGTGGGATATCCGCCTCGAGCCTGCGTCTGCGCTCTTCACATGCCAGCCGCTGCAGCCACACGAGCGTCCTACTTTGGATGCACAAAAAGTGCCGGGGAAAAGTGACTTTTGATATTCTTGTGATACCTCATTGTCCCTGCGCTACTACACATCAAATCAATCCCTTGCACCGTTCATTCCCTTCCCCGACGTGCCGATAAAAAGGTGATGTTATGCCACTATTTTACAAGATGCCATCTTCTCATACACCCGCATCTGCTCGTCCCGAAGACAAGGGAAAAGTAATAGAAAAGCCGCCCTTCAGATTGGTTTCCTCCACCCCGTGCGCCGATGGAGAACTACGAAAGGAAGAAAAATACACCAAAGAAACCTAATTCGAGGACATGGCCATGTCCCCGCTCAACGCCTAGGCTGCCAGACAATGGTTCCATCCTGCATAACGGGAAGACGGCCAGGTATTTTGGAGGCGTTGGGCGTTGACGCACTAGCATGGTCCTTCAGAGACTGGGAGCGCATCTGCGCCTGGATGCCCAGAGAGACCTGCTGGTGGTACGTCCTCTTGGAAGAGTGATGCTGGGAAAGACCCGAGACGATGGGGGATAGTGCGTCGATCTCCTGAAAGGCTTGATACCCTCGCTTCTGCGACACCGCGGACTGAGAAAACCCTTGATTCTGCACTGCGCCATGGTGCAACGCATCCATCCTTGGACCCGGCGGTGACATGCGACCAAAGGATGTACTGTGATGCTCCCCACGTGTCCCTGGGCTGGGATTGGCAAAGCGCTGCCCCTGGGCTGGATGAGCATTCGTCTGAGCCACACGCGCAGACACGTCCTGAACGCGTCCTGTGCGCTGCTCATAAGCCACCTAGGCCTCGTAGCTCTTGATCTGCCCCTCGGCGCTCAGCGGCTGGACCGCTCCCGCGGCAGGGGGCGCATGAAAGCTCATTCGGTCCATGTCGGTCGAGATTTCGTGTGCCATCCTTGCTCCCTGCTCGCCCCCCGCGGTCGCTGCCGCCTTCAACACCTCCTGTGTCTGCCGCACGCGCTTCTTGAAGGTGAGCCGGTCGAGGAAGAGCTGTTGCCGGCTCCGCTCCAGCTCCCGCTTCTCGGCCTGGAGGAGGGACTCCATGTCGTTGAAGAACTTGAGCTTCAGCTCCAGCTTGTCCAACGTGGAGTTGACGGCCGCAGACACAAGTCTTGTCATCTCTCGCTCCTCGTGTGTGGTGAGACCGCCAGCCCTGGCCCCAATCGTGGCGAGCGGGATGTTCGCAAGGGCGCTGGTAGACGTAGTGGTCGTTGTCGTGACGGTCGTTGTCGTCGTGACATCCTGCCTGATATCAACCTCCATCGAGTCGCCCCCATCCTTCTCCTTTTCTTTGCCCTTGCCATTCGCCTGGCCTTCCTCCGAAACTGAGCCCTTCTCCAGCTTAGCCCGGAGGCCTTGTTTGAGCACCTCGGCCGATTTCCCGGCAGCCGCAGCCGTGCTGGCCGGATCCGCGAGGCTACCGAGGAAGCCAATGACCGACATGACCGGGTTGTCTGACTGGTTGAATGGAAGCTGGCCACCCGAGCTGCCCAGCATCTGCAGCCCAATAGGCGCATCGAACCGTTCCGAGTCAAGATACTTGTCTTCGATATCCAGTTGCAAGAACTGAAGAACACACTCCTCCCGTGTCCGGGTGCCCACAAACTCAGAGATCTCGCCCCAGTCCTCATCGTAACGCTCAAGGGCCTCAAGCAGCTTGAGGATCTCGGCATCAGTCCATGGCGCGT